TGGGAGGTTGGGGGGGGAGGCTCTGTGCATTGCAGCCTGTTTTGCTGTTCAGCTGGACTGCCACTGGGGTTTGTTTTGCCTGGATCAGCTGGAGAGCTGGGGGTTGTTTCCCTTTGGTTTTGTGTGCTGGGGCAGCGGAGGGAAGAGGCCCAGGTTGCAGCTGTTGCTTTGAAAATAATCATTTTAATATGCAAGCTCCAAGTGCTGGGGAATTCATGGCTTTATCCGAGGGCCCGTCCCTGCTCCAGCAGTCAAGTGGATCTGGGCAGTCGGGTTGATTTAAAAATGTCGTTGTCTCTGCTGCTCCACAAGGGCAGGCTAACAGCTCCTATTTCTTTTTCCTTTTCCTCTAGGGTCTCCATCCAGCCAATCAGAACTAATTTCCCCAATTTGTTTCCCCCCATTTTTGAGTCAGATTTTTTTTCCTTACTCCCCCTTTTTTTGGGTCAGAAATCTCAACAAAATGGTGCAGAAGAAAACCGAACTCAAAGGGTTCCATCGCTCTTTCAAGGTAAACCTTCCCGCTTCATTCTTCGGCTTTGCATTTGAGCCTCTTTGTTTCTTTTTTTAAAATTGGCTGGCCGATTGATTTTTTTTTTTCAGTGTGTGTCCATCTGAGGAATTATTTTAGTTCTTCTATTTCGTGGTGTGCATGTATATGTATATAATTTCTAGTCTGGTTGCAGATCCTGGAAATCAGGAGGAAATTTGTCTTGTACAAAAAATACATGGGAGGCTTTGGGAACTTTGGAATCGATAGTAAATGGGACCCCTTGGAGAATTAGAAACGTCCAGGGCAAGCCTATATCTGCCGGCTCCTGTATCTTGTTGAGACTGGCTCTTTGGGTAATAAGAGCGCACATGTGGTGCTTTTACAGCTTCAGAGGACTGCAAGAGACCTTAATACACAAATAGCCAATGAGGTCGCAGACTGCTTGCATATTCACTGTTCGTTCACAGACTTTTTAATCTGCGATTCTTGCTGATTTAAGGAATAAGCGAGCGACCTGGAATGTTTCTCTACCTGGAGAGGTGCGTGTTAGACAGAAAACAGTGGGTGATTGCAGGAGGTGCAGAGAGTGGATTTTGGTTGGTGTTGCCCTGTCAATCATGCCTCCGTGGTTATGTCTACATAGCAGTTAAGCCCAGGCCAACTGCGGGTGTTTGATAGGCTGGGACTGAGGAGGTGTAAGTTTGGGAGCTCTGGGACTGTGCCAAGTCACTAAGCGCTGTCTGATCAGGGCCTGGAAGAGCTACTGGTTCCAACAGCTCAGTGGGTTGAAATCCGTGTATGTTGCTTCATCTTGCGCTGGGGAGCTTCCTTGTTTGTGTTGCAACAGTCACGTGGCTTCTCTTACCCCCAAACCCACTCAGGAAATAGTCCTTAGTCCTTCTCATTATCCACAAAGGCGAGTGAGAGGTTTTGAAAGTGCCCGAGGCATTTAAGCGCCCAAGTCCCCTGGAGAGTCACAATAGGCTTTTCCTCCGTCCGTTCAGCATTTCGGCACATTTCTGCCTTAAGTTCCTGGCCATATTGATATGTAAAAAAATCCCCGGCTACATACCTGGGGTGAAGGGGATGGCAAGAAAGAAAAAACGTCTGGGGGAAGGTTTCCATTGCCGAATTGAGGAGCATGGCAGAAATCCGTGGCTGCGTGGAGGTGGATTATTGAGCCCATCGGATACACGACCGCCTTGGGCCGGACGCTCAGTGACGGGTTGAGTGTTTGGAAAAGTGGTGCACGTGGAATAAATCTGGTGCACTGTGGTTTCGGGTCTCCAAAGTTTTTGCTGGGGATGGCTCAGCCCTCGGGTAGAGGCAACAGGAGCATTGGTTCTGCTGGTAGCCTGGCAAGCTGCTTCGGTAGGTCTTGGTGTGGGGCCTCGGCAGAGTTAGAGGGATGGACCGAATCTTGCACTTAACCCCCCCACCTCTGCTGATCTCTGTGTTGCCTGGGGTGGCTGGACATGGAATAAACAGGCTTTGGCGCTGGAGGTGGAGCCAGGGAATGTGAAATGTCTCCTTGGACGCTGCCACCCAACTTCCTGAAGTCCCCGAGGACTGTCCCTGGGAGCCTGTTGGCTGCAGCTTCCCCGGGTGGTCCGGGGGCCTTGTGCTGCGCTGCCTTGGTGAAATGGATTCCTCTCCCCAGGCTTAGCTTTGCCCTGCCACTGTCCTT